CGCATGGTACGTCCTCCCTGGGTGGAAGAAACGCCGGTTCTGGAGGACGTCGAGTTGTTGGGTGTCTGTAGTCTGCTGTGTTACACTGGGATGGGACAGCGTAGCGTTATCAGACGTCGTATGAAGCCGGTCTGCCAGTGTAGCCAGCTGGGCTAATGGGGTGGCGTCAGCCATACTGAATAGGGCCGGTTGAATGTGTTTTGGACAGAGTTGTATCCACAGCGATCTCACAATCTCGCTGGGGGCTGGGCCAGTTGCAGTATGCATCACATACTGAATATGCCGCAGAAGCTGAGCTGGTGTTTTGTCTGCTAATCTTTTGTCAGTGAGGAGTTGGTCCCTTTGTTGAATGCGGCGTTTCATTGCTGCCTGTAGAAGAGCGGCCTTCAATGCAGTGTACGTCCTGGTGTCCGGTGATGGCGCGGTGATGACAGCGGAGGCAGTGTGCATAGCCTCCGAGGTAAGTGTTGGCAGGGTACAGGCATATCGGGCTTTCTCAGTCGAAATTTCGTGAAGGTCGAAAATAGCCTCCATCTGCATGAACCAAAATTCTGGCTCATCTGCGTTGTATGCTGGAAACCTGGTAGATAAATCCATGACGAAGATCTAGTTTGTGACTAGGTGTTCTTTGTCACTCACTGGGTCACCAATGTAACGGTTCTATTGTTACGTAAAGTATGGTGACAATAAACACAGACACTAAGATACTATATATATATTTGGTCGAATATACAGAAGTACACCGGTGATACTTTGGTGTGAGTTGAGCGCACTGAGCGTTGGTACAGTATCTCGCAAGTGTCTGCTCTAGACCACACTTGAAAGTAGACTAGTTAATGTTTGCTATTCTGCTGCTTATATGCTCGGGCAACACCTCACCGTGTTGCCCGGGCAACGCCTCACCTCATTCATCTCCAAAGGTTGACAGGAATATTAACACTGCATTTGGAGCGAGTATATTATTGGGATAATCTACTCGCTACATGCTCTACAACTCAAGGGACCCAGAATGTGGAATGACCTTCCCAATCATGTCAAAGACTGTGTACCTCTCTCAACCAGTTTAAGAGTAAAACTAATTACTACCTAATTAACTCCCTGTAACCTACCTCACCCCTAAATGTCAACCCATGTCTTGCTATTTTCAAACAATGCTGTTTGTTGACCAACTTGTATAATTGCTGATTTTTGCCATGTTCCCCCCCCCCCCTTTTACCTCTTTCAATACAATTTATAATTTAATTTCAATTAGTTTTAAACGGGAACTATCAGGAGATAGGGCCAAGCCATTACGACTATATAGCACTTGGAAGGGGTCAGGATAAGGATTTGGGATGGGACGGTGGAGGAAGGAATGGTGCTCAACCACTTGTTGGGACGGTCGGGGATTGAACACCGACCTGCATGAAGCGAGACCGTCGCTCTACCATCCTCTCCAAGTAGTCCTCAATTAGTATTAAGTGTTAGTCTAAGTGTCTTTTTTTCCCCCCACACTTTGCCCGAAACGCTATGCTTATTAGATTCAGATTCAGATTCAGATGTTTATTCAGGTAAGGTATATACATACAAGTGATGTTACATTAATGGATTGATATATAGATAGAGCTAGTACATACAATGCCTAAAGCCACTATTACGCAATGCGTTTCGGGCAAGAAAAACATTAATATCTAGAACTTAATACTAATTGAGCATAAAGAATAAAAAGTGTTGAGAACAAATACAAATAAAGATAAAAAAAGGGGGAACATGACTGAAAAAGCAGCACAAATACAATAGGTTGACAAACAGTGTTAATTAAAAAAAAAAAGAAAAGAAAATAACAGACATGGGTTGACAATAGAGGAGTGAGGTAGGTTACAGGGAATTTATTAGGTATAGCTTCGTTTTTAACTTAAACTGGTTGAGAGAGGTACTGTCTTTAACATGTGGTACAGTCTTTAACATGTTTAACATTAGTGGCTTTAGGTATTGTATGTACTAGCTATATCTATAAATCCAACATTATATTTGTAACTCATCTTGTATGTATGTACTTTTACCTCAATAAACATTTGAATTTGAATTTGAAACTAGTGTTCGCCCGGACTGGTCACTGCCCGGGTTCGTCTGGAAGTGGTCGCCGATAGTGTTTGCAGCTAATGTTCGTCCGAAGATTGTTGCCGGCCGCTCGTATTCACCAATAGTATTCGCCCGTTGTGGTTACCCTGGGTGGTCGTCCGGGAAGGTGGTCGCCGCCGCCATTGGTACTCACCTAGTTGTATTCACCTAGTCGTGCTTGCAGGGGTTGAGCTCTGGCTCTTTGGTCCGGTCTCTTAAGGCGGGACATATACGGAACCAGTCGCCCGGGAAGGTCGTCGCCACCACCAGTGTTCGCCCGGGGGAGGTCGCCACCACCAGTGACAGACATCTTAGTTAGATAGACATCCTATCTTAGTGACAGACACCAATATGTAGTCATCAATGATATAACTTCTCCCACACTACCATTACCCGTAGGGGTACTACAGGGCAACATCCTAGGACCTCTCCTATTTCTTATATATATCAATGATCTGCCTAATGTCTCTAACATCCTTACACCTATATTATTTGCTGACGATACTTCCCTCATCTATTCAGACCCCAACACACACACACACATTAAATATTGTTGTAAACACTGAACTAAAAAAAGTTCACTTATGGATGTCAACCAACAAACTGGCATTAAACATAAAAAAGACTTACTATGTCTTATTTGGAAGCAAATCAACAAATGCAATTCAGGTTTAGATAGACAATGTTAACAACAGCAATAAAAATTATGGAGAGTTCTTTGGCCTATACATAGACAAGAGACTCAACTTCAGCACCCACATACAACACATAACTAAGAAAGTCTCAAAAACGGTTGGTATACTCTCTAAAATAAGATATTATGTTCCTAACTCTGCTCTCCTCTCACTATATTATGCACTAATCTACCCCTATCTTAATTATGGTATCTGTGCATGGGGGTTCAACCACTGCAAACCACCTCAAGCCCATCATCACCCAGCAAAAATCTGCTATCAGCAATAATAACAAACTCTGCTTTCAGACAACACTCAGCTCCCTTGTTTAAATCCCTTAACTTGCTAAATATTAACTCCCTCCACACATTGTGTCAACTACATTTACAAAACCTTTTTCTTAAATGCAAATCCTGCTCTGAAACTCTCCCTGGACAGATGTAATAGGACCCATTATCACCACACCAGACATAAATATCTCTTTGATATCCCTAGAGTCAAATTAAATCTGTGTAAACACTCTATGTAAATAAAGGGACCCAGTCTATAGAACTCACTCCCTAGTGAATTAAAAAGCTGTCCAACCTACGCCTTATTCAAAAATAAAACCAAAAAATTCCTAATTTCATCTTCATAGTTTCCTAACTAGTGTTTAAAACTCGCACTGTATCTAGTGCTATTCAAATCCCCAAAATATGTACCTATGCCCTACAACTTTACCATGATAATCATTGCTGTTATCTTATATAATGTTATACACATAGTTTACTACATTATATCTTGCAATAATCCTCAATTTATGCTAAAATGTGTCTGTGGATAACCCATAAATTTACTTTTATGTACCTACTTTTTTCTGTTAAATTTCTTATCCAATGTATTTTTTGAAGACTTTCTTGCAATGCATTTTTATACCTTCTTACAATGTATGTTTATACTTTCCTACAATGTATTTATATATATTTTTATAATGTACCTGTAATTTTTTTTTTAATTTTGCTAGAAATTACCTTCCTAAAATTAAATGTTAAATTAAGGACCTTCCCGAAACCTTATGCGTACTAATAGTTTTAGAAGAATGTCAAAATTCAACTCTCTGCCCTCTCCTAAACCCAATGTACCTTCTTGTATATATATATAAAATAGGGATGGTAGGAGAAGAAAAATATCAAAGTGTTCAGTGAGGATCCACAAGGTTTCCTCTGAGTACTCTTTATTTTCTTCTCCGAGGCTATGGGTCCCTACACTTGCACCAGAGGTAGTACCCCTTTTATAATAACTTTTAACATTCTTAACATTTTAGCATAATAATCCCAGGGGACATAGGATTAAGGACTTGCCCGAAACTAGAAGGAATCTTTCTGAAGGAAGGAATTCCTTCTGAAGATCTATCAATATACGAAAGTACTTAAGGAAATTCCTGTTTCAATTCTTCCTCCGAGGTCTGACACATCTGTCACATTTTCCATCACGTGTTAATTTTCGTGATTTACACACATATATATATAAAATCAAATACAAAATAAATAAATAAATAAAAGTGATCGCCCGGGGAGGTTGCGGCCAGGGGCCAGATTCACGAAGCAGTTACGTAAGTACTTAAGAGCGTGTACATCTTTCCTCAATCTTTGACGGCTTTGGTTACAATAATTAAATAGTTTACAAGCATCAAAACTTGCCAATCAACTGTTGTTATTGTTATAAACAGCCTCCTGGTGCTTTGGAGCTCATTAACTGTTTAATATTTGTAAACAAAGCCGCCAAAGATTGAGAAAAGATGTACAGGGGCTAGATTCACGAAGCAGTTACGTAAGTACTTACGAACGTGTACATCTTTCCTAAATCTTTGACGGCTTTGGTTATAATAATTAATCAATTTACAAGCATGAAAACTTCCCAATCAACTGCTGTTATTGTTATAAACAGCCTCCTGGTGCTTCGGAGCTCATTAACTGTTTAATATTTGTAAACAAAGCCGCCAAAGATTGAGAAAAGATGTACAGGTTCGTAAGTGCTTTCGTGAATCTGGCCCCTGTTTCAATTCTTCCTCCGTGGTCTGACACTGTACCATTTTCCATCACGTGTTAATTTCCATGATTTACACCCATATATATAACATGAAACACAAAATCAATCAATAAATAAAAGTGATCGCCTGGACAGGTTGCCGCCAGAGTGGTCGCCCGGGCAGGTCGCTGCCAGAATGGTCGGCGGGGAAGATGATCGTGGGAGCGGGTTGCCGCTACGGAGTGTTGTGACTGGGACATCTGGTGTTGTTGTTGTAGCTTGATGAAGGCGGCGAGAGTGGAGGTGGTGGAGGCTGGGGCCAGCTGAGCACAGCCATGAGCGACACTGTCGAGAAGATGCTCAACCAGGCGGCCTTAGAAGCCCTCTACTCCGCTACTTACGTTGATAACTTCCTGGGTAAGTGGCCCTTAGAGGTGAGAGATGGCTGCCAGGTCGCTGTCTCCCGCACACCAGTGGCTCTAGTCTACAGTGTAATACATGGCTCTATGTATCTCCAGACTGATCTGGAGTATTCTGCACACTGTAATACATGGCTGTATTCTCCAGTGTGTGTATTCACCTAGTTGTATTCACCTAGTTGTGTTTGCGGGGTTGAGCTTTGCTCTTTCAGCCCGCCTCTCAACTGTCAATCAACTGTTTACTAACTACTTTTTTTTTTTCCACACACCCCAGGAAGCAGCCCGTGACAGCTGACTAACTCCCAGGTACCTATTTTACTGCTAGGTAACAGTGGCATAGGGTGAAAGAAGCTCTGCCCATTGTTTCTCGCCGGCGCTTGGGATCGAACCCGGGACCACAGGATCACAAGTCCAGTGTGCTGTCCGCTCAACCGACCGGCTCCCTGAATAATTATATTCCTTAACAATTAAACTGGCCTGCGTCTTGACAACCAGATTTCACTCGAAGCCAACTTGAATATCAGAAGTTGTGTAGTGTTTACACAAGTGTATTTGTGGGTTTATTGGACTCTTGGATGTGTAGGTTAGGATGCAATTCTCCATTAAGTAAGGGGGAGTAAAGGGGTGTTTGGACAGAGCATCACCGACCGTCCACAAGTGGTTGGGCACCATTCCGTCTCCCCGTCCCATCTCAAATTCTTATCCCGACTCCTTCCCAGTGCTATATAGTCATGGTGACTTGCCGCTTTCCCCTGGTCGTGTCATGCAGGTCCGCGTTCAATCCCCGACCGTCCACAAGCGGTTGGGCACTGCTTTACTAATGTCAGTGACTGGAACCCTGTCAGTTTGACTGCCAGTTCGACCACTCTTAACACTACCATAACTTAGCCTAACCAGTCTAGAAATGTCACTAAGGGTCATTTCATACTCGACATTGTGGGGAGGTCACCTGACAGCTGACCTTTTCCCCCCAGAATGCAACCCACAACAGCATACTAACCCCCGAGGGCTTATTTACTGCTGGGTTAGCGGAGGAATCGCGTGAAAGGAACACACTCAAATATCTCTGTCCTACTGGCCCGTGATGGGGGGGGGGGGATTTTTAAATTGGGGCAGCTGTCATTGTCTCTGGCAGGCCAGGATACAATGACTGTATCCCGGCCATATTATGTAACATAAGTACATTGTACTCGAGCAATTGTACATTGTATTATTGTACTCGAGCAGGTGACACATGGGTTTATCTTGCCTCTCATTAAAAAAGTAGTTTTATAGAGCTCTTCTACATAATCCTGCTCATATTATCATGATTTAGGCTAGGCTTGGTTAGGCTAGGCTAGGCTTGGTTAAGCTAGGCTAGGCTTGGTTAGGCTAGGCTAGGTTAGGCTAGGCTTGGTCAGGCTAGGCTAGGTTAGGCTAGGATTGGTCAGGCCTGGTTAGGCTAGGTTAGGCTAGGATTGGTTAGGTTTGGCTTGGTTAGGCTAGGCTAGGCTTGGTTAGGTTAGGCTAGGATTGGTTAGGTTTGGCTTGGTTAGGCTAGGCTAGGCTTGGTTAGGTTAGGCTAGGATTGGTTAGGTTTGGTTTGGCTTGGTTAGGCTAGGCTAGGCTTGGTTAGGTTAGGCTAGGATTGGTTAGGTTAGGTTAGGTTAGGCAAGGCTTGGTTAGGCTAGGCTAGGTTAGGCAAGGCTTGGTTAGGCTGGGCTAGGCGTTATAATGTGTATGGAAATTGTCGTGTATGAAATGATCTGTAGGGAATTTTGTGGACTAGTTAGACTAAGTTAAGATTGTGTTAGGAATGTTGCTGTAATTTTATTGATCATTGTGCACACTAATCATTTAGTAAGCAAAATTATAATTGTGTAGATATTTTGTATTTATAATACCCTGTACTTTGTATTTTGTATTGCATTTTAGACATTGTTTACATCATGGGTAAGGTTGAGTATGAATTTTTTTTTACAAGTGGTGATTGTTTTGTATGAAGTGACCCATATCAAGCCTAGATTATAAAATTTTGCATTAGGTTGTCACGGCAAATCATTATTGAACCGATTCTGTGCTCAGATATTCTAACAATTATTCCCAGGCTATGATTGTGTAGGAATTGTTCTATTTCTACTATTTTAAATAATGTTAGGTTATCTTCTCTTGAGGTTATCTTGAGATGATTTAGGGGCTTAGCGTCCTTGCGGCCCGGTCCTCGACCACGCCTCTGTTACACACCCCCAGGAAGCAGCCTGTGACAGCTGTCTAACTCCCAGGTACCTATTTACTGCTAGGTGAACAGGGGCATCATCTTTATCTTAACTAGTCAAATGCAAATTTTAAAGTTGAATAATGGTCATGGTTTCATACCATTTATTCAAACTTAGTTACTTTTATGTTGGCTAGTGTCTATGGTTAAAATAATTTAATACTCTTCTATTTTTAGATACTGTAGAGAACCTACCAGATGAAGTTCAAAGAGAGATATCGAGTATGAGGGAGCTGGATGTCCGATATCAGGGTAAGACTTCATAAAATACTTTGTTGACCCTTAACCCGTGTCCTGCTGCTACATTTTTAAAACAGCGTAGCTCAAACAAACTAGTTACTTTATTTTCCAGCTTTTATATTTTTGCCAACATATTGGTCCATTTTGTACACAAAGAAAGGCTCAGAAGCCAAATCACAAACCGCTGCTGTTCCCATATGACCAAAAGTACAGTGACCAGACCACACACTAGAAGGTGAAGGGACGACGACGTTTTGGGCTGTCCTGGACCGTTCTCGACTTGAGACAATTGACTTGAGAATGGTCCGGGATGGACCGAAACATCGTCGTCCCTTCACCTTCCAGTGTGTGGTCTGGTCAACATATTTTAGCCACGTTATTGTGACTCATCGCCTGCACCAAAAGTACATTTTTTAATTATCTAAGTGTAGTTACAGCATGCTTGTGGTGTCCCGTCTTCCCGGCACTCTCTCATAAGTGTAGTTACAGCATGCTTGTGGTGTCCCGTCTTCCCGGCACTCTCTCATAAGTGTAGTTACAGCATGCTTGTGGTGTCCCGTCTTCCCGGCACTCTCTCATAAGTGTAGTTACAGCATGCTTGTGGTGTCCCGTCTTCCCGGCACTCTCTCATAAGTGTAGTTACAGCATGAGAGCTATGCTTGTGGTGTCCCGTCTTCCCGGCACTCTCTCATATAATGCTTCAAAACTACATTAGTTATGTTTTTGACCTCCACCACCTTCTTCTCACTTAACTTGTTCCAACCGTCTACCACTCTCTTTGTAAAAGTGAATTTTCTTATATTTTTTGGCAACTTTGTTTAGTTAGTTTAGATCTATGACCTCTTGTTCTTGAAGTTCCAGGTCTCAGGAATTTTTCCCTATTACTTATGTCAAATCCCATTACTATTTTGTATGTAGTGATCGTATTGCCTCTTTTTGTTCTATCTTCTAGTTTTAGCATATTTAATGCCTCTAACCTCTCCTTGTAGCTTTTGTCCTTCAGTTCTGGGAGCCACTTAGTTGCATGTCTGCACCTTTTCCAGTTTGTTGATGTGCTTCTTAAGATATGGACACCATGCAACTGCTGCATATACCAGCTTTGGTCTCACAAAGGTTGGGAAAATTTCTTTAGTATTTCACCATCTATGTATTTAAAAAGCATTTCTGAAATTGTGTTACATAGGCTCCTTGCACGATGGTTTTTTATATGGTCCTCGTGATAATTTTCTATCTAAAACTACCCCCAGATCTCATTCTTAATCAGATTTTTTTTCAAGATATTTCACATAATTTGTAAGGTTGTGTGTAGTCTATGTTCTCCTATTCCACATTCCATTACATGCGTGACAATCATCTACGTTTATCTTCTCGTGTATCTTAGTATCATGTTCATATATTTTTGTATTCCATCTGGTAGATCGTTTATGTAGACAATGAACATTATTGGTGCAAGAACTAAACCCTGTGGTACTCCACTTGTGACATTTCTCCAGTCTGATACAATGCCTTTGATTTCCGCCCTCATTTTTTTTGTCAGAAAATTTTCCATCCATGTTAGAAGCCTTCCTGTCACCCCTCCAGCATGTTCCAGTTTCCAGAACAGCCTCATATATAGAACTCTGTCAAAAGCCTTTTTTAGGTCCAGATAGATGCAATCAGCACAACCATCTCTTTCATGTAAAATCTCTGTGGCTCTATCCTAGAAACTGAGTAAATTTGTTACACAGGATCTTCCAAATTGAAAACCATATTGTATATATGCTTTTAGACTACACTAATACCTAAGAATGAGTGTAGTAGTTTAAATCTATGTTTAATTCTAATACTAAGAATTAGTGTAGTCTAATTGTCTTTGAATTGTACGTTTCATTGGAAACGTAATCAACTTTCCAATATTAGTAATTGCTATACTGTATAAATACAGTATGAAACAATGGCACCACTGGTTTATGTATTAAGAAAGTTGACCTGTATTTGTTAAATTTTTTACAGGTACAGTACTGTATAGTACTGTAGTAACACAGATTATGATGTGCGCAGTTCATGCACTTCGATCAAAACCCATAATATAATGGGTCTTAGAATCCAAGTGTTAATGCTAACCAATATTGTGTCCTTATAGTAATTTTTCATCCATATTCATAATTTGCTCAGATGCTCCCTCTTGTATAGTGTTGCACATTTTCTCCTGGTCAACCATTATTGGGTAGGCAACTCTACCTTTACTGTGGCTTGTGAAAACACAAACGAATCCACTTCAAAATTTATGCAGACAAATCTTTTCCTTAAGCCTTTTTTTATTTAATTTTTCAGATAATATGCTAATGTGAAAAAAATTTATTCAGTCGTGAAGAATATCTTCCAGAGACCTGTGATTTCCTATGTATTGTTTTCAGTCAATATGAGACTTGCTAATTCTTTCAACTTTTCTTCTGCAGCCCTTTTACAAGATATGGAAGGACTTCGTGGACAGCTGGAAGGAGAACTCGACTCAATCTCACTAAAACGTATAATGGTTCAGATCCAGGATAAACTTATTTCAACTCAAGAAATTGGAGATGACAAGTTGCAAATTGTACAGCATATTCTTGATATCATTGAGAACAGACAGAGGCAGCTTGAATTAGATTGTAAAAACTTAGGTAAGTTGTTAGTCACTTGTAGGTTAGGGCAAAGTGAGTATAATTTGGTAAACTAATGGCTCCTGTTCTGAGTTGCAACTTTATAATTATTTTAGGCTCATATAGTTAGTGTACAGAACTGATGGCATGATTAGTTTATCATTTCTCTCTTAAGTGCGCGGACAGGGCTGAGGGAACGTTGAGCCCTGAAATCATCTCTGTAAGTATGTATTTGGTGTCAAAAAAAATATTGACACTTTGAAAAAAAAATGAGAGATTTGACAAAACAAGAAGGCTGCTGCTTAGGAGTTTGTCACATGCATAAGTAAATCATTTGTTTGCTGCCGCCAGTGGTCAACTTCCAGAAATATTTTCTGGTACTTTTCTGGGGGAGCCGGTCGGCCGAGCGGACAGCACGCTGGACTTGTGATCCTGTGGTCCTGGGTTCGATCCCAGGCGCCGGCAAGAAACAATGGGCAGAGTTTCTTTCACCCTATGCCCCTGTTACCTAGCAGTAAAATAGGTACCTGGGTGTTAGTCAGCTGTCACGGGCTGCTTCCTGGGGGTGGAGGCCTGGTCGAGGACCGGGCCGCGGGGACACTAAAGACCCGAAATCATCTCAAGATAACCTCAAGAAGATACTCCTTACCTGAATATGCTCTTATCCTGCAATTTGTTATGCATATCCCTGTACATTATTGACCAGACTAATATTATTTGCCCCTTTTAATAACTATCTCTAAGTTTAATTGTTGTTGTTTTTGGCTGTAGACTTTGGCCAAGAACCAGAAAAGCCTGAAGCATCCAAAGATGTGCAGCCAGAAAGAGCCAGCAAGCGGGCACGGAGGACCAGGAATGATCATGCGTCAAATCATAATGAAAATTCCAACGATGCTCCTGCCACACCTCACATAGAGAAGGTGCCAACAAACAAGGTAAAGTTATATTCAGCTTATAAGCTGTAAACTTGAAACATTGAGATGTGTATAGTACATAGGGGAGGGTTTGTGTACTGCATTCATTGCACGTTCTCTCACACACCCACAGAAACATTTAGGGTTTTGCAGACGACGAGTCGCAATAACGTGGCTGAAGATGTGATGACCAAAACACTTGCCAGAAGTAGAGAAACAACGACGTTACGGTGCGTACTGGACCATTATCAAGTGTAGGTAGTCACGTACAACTTGATAATGATCCGGGTCAGACTGAAATGTCTGCGTTTCTCCATGTTCTGGTGTGTGGTTTGGTCATCATTTAAGGTTTTATTAAGTGTTCTCTTTTGAGAACACAAGATTTTCTGCTATTTTGCAAAAATCTAAGATTTACAAAAAGATTTTTTTAAAGACTTAAAAAAATCTAAGATTTTTGAAATCTCAAATAAAGAACCTAAACTCCTTTCATAGCTGTCTTTCAGATGTGCCAAATTCCTGTTCATACAATCTAGTATTACTGTATATGATCAGTGCTTTGGTTTTCCTTCCACACCAATACTTGTTTATTTTATTTGTATCGTAACTTTTGCCTAATTTTTCCTTTACAATTTGCCAGTGGCCTTAATGATTTTGGTACTGGAATGTAACATGTTGTGCTGTGTTATATCTCTGATGCATCGGTCCCGCTGGCCGGCCTAGCGGACAGCACGCTAGACACGTGATCCTGTGGTCCTGGGTTCGATCCCGGGTGCCAGCGAGAATAGGTACCTGGGAGTTAGTCAGCTGTCATGGGCTGCTTCCTAGGGGGTGGAGGCCTGGTCGAGGACCGGGCCACGGGGACGCTAAAGCCCCGAAATCAACTCAAGATAACCTTCCCTTGCGTAACTTCCCATTATCGAAATGGTGTATGCATGTATGCAAATCTTTTCATGGCATTTAAAATGTTTTCTATTGATAAAGACTTTAAGGAGCCTCTGAGATATTGATCAATTAACTCTACCGGATAATTTGACAGCAGCACGAACAAACAAAACTGGTTGAAAAAATGGAAATTGCCTTGAGCAATCATGAAGATAAAAGGCAAAATATATACAGTATTATCATTGTCCCATTTCTGACTTTCAAAGGGTGGTTGAGGGATGTATGAGTTCACAGGAAAATGTCGAACTATCAAGGAAAAGTGCCAAGCCAATGCGACTATATAGCACTGGGAAGAGGTCAGGATAAGGATTTGGGATAGGATGGTAGGAAAGGAATGGTGCCCAACCACTTGGACAGTCGGGGATTGAACGCCGACCTACATGATGCGAGACCGTCGCTCTACCGTCCAGTCCAAGTGGGAAAATAGTGAGTGACAATAACAAAGTTGTTAACTTTGTTAAAAGTTAACTCCGTTGTATAATTAAAAAAACTGCAGGCAGTGGGAGTAGACAGTTATACAGTAGTAAAGTTATACAGTATACAATAGTTAGCATGTTGTCAAATTTTTTTTTTTTTTTTTTGGTAGTTTGGTAATTGCTAAAAAAATTTAGGAGGGCGGGTGAGTGTTTGTGACATGCTTTCAGTACATCAATACACAGTTCACCTCAGTAGTGGATTGACTTCTAATCTTTACAAGTTTCACTATTCAAAATTAATTTTGTCAAGAGACAGGGAGCCTGTGTATATATACTGTACATGTTAGGCTTATATCAAGGTCTTCCCCAAGATTGAACTACTGATCCTTGCCAGAATGTAACCCCACAAGAAGCTGGCTAAGTCCTGGGTACCTATTTACTGCTAGGTGAACAGAGAGGCATTAGGTAATAGGGAATGTGCCCACCTATTTCTGTCTCATTGGCATTCAAACGTGGAATTCCTGATTTTGAGTCGAGAATAAACCCAACTGTACTACTTGGACCCATAAGGGGCAGAGGAGTTCATAAAGGGCTTTGCTTCTGGCATTACGAGTGTCACAGGAACCTGGAGCCAGATTCACAAAGCAGTTTCGCAAGCACTTACGAACGTGTACATCTTTCCTCAATCTTTGACGGCTTTGGCTATATTTATTAAATAGTTTGCAAGCATGAAAACTTTTCAATCAACTGTTGTTATTGTTATAAACAGCCTCCTGGTGCTTTGGAACTCATTAACTGTGTATTAATTGTAAACAAAGCCGCCAAAGATTGAGAAAAGATGAACAGGTTCGCAAGTGCTTGCGTAACTGTTTCGTTAATTTGGCCCTGGGTTTGTAAGTGCTTGCGTAACTGCTTCGTTAATCTGGCCCCGGGTTTGTAAGTGCTTGCGTAACTGCTTCGTTAATCTGGCCCCGGGTTTGTAAGTGCTTGCGTAACTGCTTCGTTAATCTGGCCCCGGGTTTGTAAGTGCTTGCGTAACTGCTTCTTTAATCTGGCCCCTGGTGTGTGTGTGTGTTAAATCGTATAGGCGGCAGGGGAGTTGATGAAGGGCCTTGCTTCTGGTGAGACGAGGGTCACAGTAACCGGGCGTGTGTGTGTGTTTTATGTCCTACAAAGATCGGGTGACATGAGCGAAACATCTACCGAGGTGCCACCCAGAAAGAGGCAATTTCAATATACTAAATACTTGATTTATTAATTGCAAGAACAATTAATGTTATTCAGTTCCAAATCAAAAATTGTAGGTCATGGAGCCATACCATTTAGTACATAAATTTTCATCATTTCTAACTTGATAGTTTTAAAGTTGCAAATTCTTTATAACTATTTAAAATATGTCTGAATTTGAATTCCTGAATTGCTTTAAAATTTGTATAGGTTTTGCTGATTGTTGTGTAATAAAGCCATTTAAATTGTATTTTTGTTTTCAGACTGCTAACTGAAGAGGGTGACCTTCTTGTTATTTTATCTCTCCCACACTCCATCTCCATGTCTTCCTTCCCTCTCTTCCCTCCTCCTCTGTTAAATCCTACCACCTTTTTCCCTTCTTCTCGTGTCTTGCCCAATTGCTTGGGGATGGAAGGTAGAGCGATGGTCTGGCTTCATGCAGGTCGGCGTTCAATCCCCAACCGTCCACAAGTGGTTGGGCACCATTCCTTTCCCCCCCGTCCCATCCCAAATCCTTATCCTGACCCCTTCCCAGTGCTGTGTAGTCGTAATAGCTTGGTGCTTTCTTCTGATAGTTCCCTTCCATCTCCTTTTCTTTCATCCTCCCTCTCCCTGTAATGTTTTTTTTTTATCCGTGATTCTATATGGTGTGGATGATATAAGAAATGTATTAGGATGAAATAGGGTAAAGATGATTGAATGAATGTTTATAAACAAAAAAACTAATACAGTAATGTACTTTATAGCAGGCCCTACGTGTAAACTAGTTTTTGATATTGCAAACATCTCTAATGTTTTGTGTACTGTCTTGCCAGAGCGCAGCTCAGAAGAAGACTACGAAGAAGAAGAAGCGCAAGGCAAGAGTCGAGAGAGAGCGAGAAGATTCACCCACAGAAATTCCCATTGACCCAGACGAGCCAACCTATTGCCTTTGTGAACAGGTAAGAGAATATTGCATCTCATCTTTCATAGTCTCGCCTATAAGATTCAAGAACCTGTACTGGGCCCAAACTAACATTTTTAACACATCCACCATTGATAATAACCTCTGTACTACGCACCACGACCAGGGTTGTGTCATTGACAGTGCGCACCACAACCAGGGTTGTTTCAGGCCTACCACAAAATTTAAAACTCCCATGCATACATAGGGGTTCACGTTTGTCTCAAGTCTTCAGTAACTATTCCCCATCTTGAAAAATATCCTAAGTCACTGACTTGCCTTTTTGGGTCTTAGCAGGAAGACGAGGACCATGTCTGGCACACCACCATCCAGTGTCTGGACGTGTGGGGCGGCCATATTAGGGTCTTAGCAGGAAGACGAGGACCATGTCTGGCACACCACCATCCAGTGTCTGGACGTGTGGGGCGGCCATATTAGGGTCTTAGCAGGAAGACGAGGACCATGTCTGGCACACCACCATCCAGTGTCTGGACGTGTGGGGCGGCCATATTAGGGTCTTAGCAGGAAGACGAGGACCATGTCTGGCACACCACCATCCAGTGTCTGGACGTGTAGGGCGGCCATATTTGGAACCATTGAACTTTTAACAATAACAAGTGATTGTAGGCGATGAGTCGCAATAAGTGGCTGAAGAATGTTGACCAGACCACACACTAGAAAGTGAAGCGACGACGACGTTTCGGTCCGTCTGGGACCATTCTCAAGTCGATTGTCTTGAGAATGGTCCAGGACGGACCAAAACGTCATCTTCACCTTCTAGTATGTGGTCTGATCATCATCAATAACAAGTGATTGATTACCATGTGCACATTTACAGGCAAAATGTGTGCTATACAGTACAGTACAATTATAAGATTTACTCCTATAAATAAATACAAAAATAAATATAAATACAGTACAGTAAATATAAATTAATGTAAATATATATTTATATATATCATGCCATCCTCCTGTCTAGGTAGTACAGTACTTATAGTAACCATGAGGACCATAGTACATATACCCACGTACAACAAAATTAGAAAGTAGAAATCTGAGCTATTGAGTTGGACAAACTGGAAAACTATTTTTTTACATGTGTTGCTTTGACAAACTAAACTAACCTAACCTAACCTTCCTAGGCCTAATACACGATATCTGAGGCCTAATTTAGTACATATGTGTGCTATACAAGGCCTAGGAATATTTAAGTTTATTTTAGCCTCATTTATTTTAAAGAATAAATTTAGTTTTAATATTTAGTTTTTATTTCTTGCAGGTTTCATATGGAGAGATGATTGGTTGTGATAACGACTTGTGCCCAATTGAATGGTTCCATTTCTCGTGTGTGGGACTGACCAACAAGCCGAAGGGGAAATGGTTCTGCCCGAAGTGCAGGGGAGAGAAGCCAACTGTCATGAAACCCCGCGCACAGTTCTTGAAGGAACTGGAGAAGTACAATAAGGAGAAGGAGGAAAAATCCTAAACATCTTGAAGTTTTGTGACAAGTTGGTTAGGATTGTGTATATATATATAGTTTTTAAAGATTTTATGTATATTTCAGAAAATGATTATATAGTATAGTGTCATACATTAGTATTATATGCATATTGCACATCTTCTGTGGGTCCATTTCATCTTCAGTAATATCTCATTATTTAATATCTAATTAATACTACCCCATTTTTGTGCTGGGTTATGTTTTAGTCGTGTAAGTCCAAGATCGCTCGGATTCCTTACTCGGTACTGTACATCTACACTACAAGTAACCCTCTCCGTCTCGTGTAGTTTTATTCATTTAGACTGTAGTACGTTTCTCATTTTCTCCAATTTACAGCTTGATCTCAAATTTTTGTGAATTCTTGAAACTAATATACCTAGCAGTAAAATAGGTACCTGGGAGTTAGTCAGCTGTCACAGGCTGCTTCCTGGGGGTGGAGGCCTGGTCGAGGACCGGGCCGCGGGGACACTAAAGCTCCGAAATCATCTCAAGATAACCTCAAGATAACCATTGCTCTGAATTCATCTAATTTATGATATTGTCCTGAAAATATTTGACTCTTTTTGTTACTGTGACATTTTATGAAATTTTATTTTGATACTGTATTTTTTTAATGCTAATACAATACTACTGTATTAGGGTTTGATATAATACACTAAAAAAGTGACTTTTCACCACTTGCCGCATAGTTACCAGTGATAGTATAATATCCATTTTGTTGCTGTATTTGTCAGTAAATAATTACAACTTCACTTTAGAAATGCTAATGTGCGTAAATGCAATTATTATTATTATTATTATTATTATTATTATTATTATTATTATTATTATTATTATAAGGATTCATACATAGAAATATGTATTCATATTTAGCATTTTGCAATTTTTTGTTTTGGCTACCCAGTGAAAAAGTTCCAGACCTGGGGCCAGATTCATGAAGCAGTTACACAAGTACTTACGAACGTGTACATCTTTCATCAATCTTTGACAGCTTTAGTTACATTTATCCAACAGTTTACAAGCATGATAACTTCCCAATCAACTGTTGTTATTGTTATAAACAGCCTCCGTGTGCTTCGGAGCTCCTTAACCGTTTAATAATTGTAAACACAGCCGCCAAAGATTGAGAAAAGATGGAGAGGTTCGTAAGTGCTTGCGTAACTGCTTCGTGAATCTTGCCCCCTGATTGGTATTTGTGGTAGTATCCATGGATGTTTGTGTGTATATGTAGCCATGTACCTGATGTATACAAAACATTTTTGCAATTAAAATAAGATATATTGTACGTACTGTCAGCATTTTTTAGCAGTGTCGTTTCTGTATAATAATCCTTCAAATGATAAGGAAGAGTGCTCATTATTGTTAGTATACTGTATGTATGTTACATCTGTATATACATATATTGTATTGTGAGGATCCCATGCCTGGTTAATGGTGTAGGCTGTTGGCTGGGCCTATATTTATCCCAACCCATCCTCTTAAAATTGTCGTTTTTTTGCTTGTATGCGCGCTGTGGCCAAAAATGGACGTAATTTGAAATGAAATCGGCTCAGAGAAGTGACGTACTGTCCCGTTTTCTGTCTCGAGTCCTCCGGCTTACTCAGGTTAGGAGAGGAACCTTTCAATTAACATTTTTCATGACGTTTTGAAACCATAGGAGAACTTCCTGCCCTCCTAACCTACCAGAGGACCCTTAACTTGCTGTTTTGGAGACAAAAAAATCCAAAATTTACACACAGAAATCACAATTACGTGATGCATCAAATGAACAAATCCACAAGGGCCGTGACGAGGATTCGAACCTGCGTCCGAGAGCATCCTAGACACAGTGCCTTAATCGACTGAGCTACGACATGGTAAAAGGAGTTGAAACCGAATAGAACTTAGGTTTCAACTCCTTTTACCATGTCGTAGCCCAGTCGATTAAGGCAGCGTCTGGGATGCTCTCGGACGCAGGTTCGAATCCTCATCACGGCCCTTGTGGATTTGTTAATCCAAAATTTACTTTCAATTATTTTGAATTTTCAAATTATGTTCATTTTTAGACGCAAACGACCAAATTCAGACGTAGTTTGTAAGAGGACAGGTTGATCTATTTAGTGATAGGAGAGGACTCTAGGTTACTGGTGATGTTTACAGAAGGATGACACGATTGAAATAGAAATTTCTTGCAGCAAATGTTATACTTTAGATTGAATTAATTTTTGTTGAGTGAATATTTGAAACAAATGTATTTATACCTTCTAATTTATTACTCAGAGCTTGAGTTTGTTTGTATATGCATGTTCGTTTGTAACAATGAATGTGCACCCCTCCAAAACACAAATACACACACGTACACACACACACGTACACACACACGTACACACACACACTTGGGTAATTACACAGAGTAGTTTCAAAGCATTGAATGATAGAGTACTGGGAAAATGAGACACACGAGTGTAGCTCTCGTCCAGTAACTACTTTAGGTAATTACAGTTAGGTAATTATAATTAGGTAATTACACATGCACGCGCACATATATACATACATACATCCATACCTCCTACAGAGGGGTAGACGGTTAAAACAAGCTAAGTGAGGTGGTGGTGGAGGTCAAAACCGTCAGTAGTTTCAAAGCGTTATGTGATTGAGTACTGTACTAGGAAGACGGGACACCACGAGCGTAGCTCTCATCCTGTAACTACACTTGAGTAATTGCACTTAAATAATTACACACACATAAAGAGCCAAAGCTCAAAGCTATTGGGACTTAATAGCCAAAGTACAACTAGGAGCGCACACACACTCATTACCTAAAATTATGTGAAAAAGTTTAAAAAATTCTTATGAGAGATCTAGGGATGCTTCTAGATATAAAACTGGCCCCTGATGACTTCATAAAGAACATTGTGCGAGGAGCCTATGCTACGCTTTCTAATTTCAGAATTGCTTTTAAATATATAGATGATGAAATACTAAAGAAATTGTTAATGATCTTTGTGAGACCGAAGCTGGAATATGCAGTAGTTGTATGGTGTCCATATCTTAAGCACATCAACAAGCTGAAAAAGTTGCAAAGACTTGCAAATAAATGGCTTCCGGAACAGAAAAACGGGCTACGAGGAGAGGCTAGAGGCACTAAATATGGCAAAACTAGAAGAAGAAAGAGGCGATGTGAGCGCTATGTACAAAATGGTAACGGGAATCGGCAAAATTTTTTGGGAAGAATTCCCGAGACCTGGAACTTCAAAAACAAGGACATAGATTTAAACTAACTAAAAGCTACTGAAGAAATATAAGTAAATTCATTTTCACAGAGTAGTAGATTGTTGGAACAAGTTGAGAAGGTGGGTAGAAGTCAAAACCGTCTAGTTCAAAGTGTTACATGGCAAAGAGGACTGGGAAGATGGGACCTTGGAGGCCTGGTCGACGACTGGGCCACGGGGTCGCTAAGCCTTGGAATCACCTCAAGGTAACCTCCACAAGCGTAGCTCTCATCCTGTAACTACACCTGGGTAATTACACACACACACCAACTGGTTTTTCAGTCACCTTTGTGTACACTAGTCTTGGCAGATAAATAGAAGAATGTTAACATAGTTACTATCTTCAAAGATGGTAGCAGGGAAGACCCTTTTATAGGCCTATATCATTGACACAAAAATGGTAGCAGGGAAGACCCTCTTACTTATAGGTCTCTATTATTGACAAGTGTAGTTGTCAAAACATTAGAGAATAATTATAACCAAGTTGACAGAACACCTGGAGAGGAATGATATAAAACACAGTATGGGTTTTCAATGAAAATCCTGTTTAACAAATGTACTTGGTTTCTATGATAGAGCCACAGAAATGTTAAGAGATGGTTGGGTTTATTGCACTTTTCTGGGTCGGGAAAAAAAAAAGCTTTTGACAGAGTCCCATATAAAAGATTGTTCTCGAAACTAGAACATATTAGAGTGACAGGAAGACTTCTAATATGGATGAAACATTTTGACAGAAAATTAGGGCAATAATCATAGGCACTGTATCAGATTGGAGAAATGTCATTAATGGAGTACCACAGGGTTCAGTTCTTGTATCAGTAATATTCATTGTCAACATTAACTATTTACCAAGAGGAATACAGAATTATATGAACATTTTTTTGCTACTGATGCTAAGGTACTAGGGAAGCTGAGCAACTTTGATGATTATCATGCCCTTCAAGAAGACTTGGACAAAATAAGTGAAGCAAAATTTGACAAATGGAATTTAATGTGAATAAATGCCATGTCATGGAATAGGAGAAATTAGGCTACACAACCAACAATTTATGTGAAAGAGCTTTCAAGAATTGTGATAAGAGATCCAGGGAAGGGGGGGGGGTTCTGGATCGAATACTGTCACCTGAGGACCACATTAAGAATATTGTGCGAGGAGAGCCTTTCAACTTTAGAATCACTTTCAAGTACATGGAGGGTAAAATATTAAAGAAATTGTTTACAATTTTCACGAGACCAGCATTGGAATATGCGGCGGATATATGGTGCCCGTATCATAAGCACATTAACAAACTGGAAATGGTGCAAAGACATGCAACAAAATGGCTTCTAGAACTGAAGGGCAAGAGATATGAGGAGAGACAAGGGGTGTGCCCAAGCCAGAAGATAGAAGAAAAGGAGGCGATATGATCACTTCGTACAAAATTTTAACGAGAATTCACAAACTTGATGGAGAAGAAGTAGACCATTTGAACAATTTAAGTGAGGTGGTGGTGGTGGAGGCCAAAACTGTCAGTACTGTAATTTCATAGCGTTATATTACAAAGAGTGCCGGGAAGACGGGACACCTCGAGCGTAGCTCTCATCCTATAACTACACTTAGGTAATTACACACACACACACAATCACTCCTTTTTAATATTGTACAGTTATTCTGGTATCATTTTTAGTAATTTTATAAAGGCTGGTGTAGGTTAATAGCAGTTGCAGATGTTTGTTTATTTTTTCACTTAAAAAATACAAGAATGTTTACAACTGCTCTCCAGATGTGTTAAACAAATAAGATTTTTGTGTATGTTGGAATATATTAAATATTTATTTTATCAACTGATGAATTACTGTTGGAATTCATTAAAATAATTCTTCAAAATTAGTTTTTATATTTGTCTAATGAATTACCAATTGAGATTGAATTACCACTCTCACTTACCAATTGAGGTAGAGGTTGTTTTGTAGTAGTATTTTGCTCATGAAAATTATGGTATAATTTGAATAAGACGCAGGAGCACCTCCAGAGTGAGTAAGAAGAGGAGGAAGCATAGTACTACAGGCAGACGAGGAGTCACAATGAAGTGGCTGAAATATGTTGACCAATCACAATCGACTTGAGAATGGTCCAGGACGGACCGAAACGTCGTCGTCGCTTCACCTTCTAGTGTGTGGTCTGGTCAACATAGTACCATGGCACTGCTGCAGGAGAGCTATTCTTGTAAGGTGACAATATTTACTGTACTAAACACATCACATTAACATATCAAAAGAACAAATTGACAGGAGCCTTGATGAGGGTTTGAACCTATGCGCAGTGTGTTCCCAGACGCGCTCTAGTCAACTGTACCACGACGTGGTCATAAGCACATTAACCTATACTGGTTGCCTATACTGTACTGATTTGTGTTGCTGCTGCAAAATCAGTGCTCCTGCTCTCACTTTAGTATTTAATATATTGTAGACACTATGGCACAATTATATGGCTGAAACGTAGACACCCAACACACAAATCTGAAAATAAAGGCAGTGACGACATTACACTCAATCCCGGACCATTATCAAGTGTGATAATATCTCAGGATGAACCAAAATGTCGTCACTTTCTTTTTATTTATATGTGGGTTGGGTGTCTATTCAGTATATTATTATCGAATGTTTCTTGACCAAGAAACTTCAAAGACAACTTACAGGCATTCAAATGAAACCATTTAGTAATTAACTGTAGGGAAGGAGTTAATTAGTGAATTAACTTGTCCTCCCTCAGGGCGCACCTCTGGTAATAGTGAGGAAGGGTTTGAAGT